GTTTTTTTTCCGTTGGTCTTGTTTATTCCTATAGCAATACTACAATAATACGTTGTGGTTTTACTTATAAAGTGAATATATAAAAGTATAGTTACCTATATGGCATTTTAGGATGAACCCCTATTTAGCCTTTTTCCTTAAAATATGTTGTCTATTTGTGGTCATTTAAACAAACAAACAAAAAAAAAAAAACTGCCGTTGAGTCGATTCAACTCATACTGACCCCTCCTTGGGTTTCCAAGGCAGTATCTCTATGGAAGTAGATTGCCCAGTCTTCCTTTCAAGGAGTGGCTCGTTTGAAATGCCACCCTTCTGCCTTAGGCACTATGCCACCAAGGCTCCCATTCATGCCCATTACAACAACTCATTGCTGCTGAGTCAGATCCAACTCATAGCGACCCCTCTTTGGGTTTCCGAGGCAGTATCTCTACCGAGGTGGTATCTCTATGGAAGTAGATTGCCCCATCTTCCTTCCGAGGAGGGGCTGGTGGATTTGAACTGCCAGCCTTCCGGTTAGCAGTCGAGTGCCTTAGGCATACATGTTTGATGTATTTTCTGAAAACCTAAAAAATAGTTCAATTGCTGGGAGCTTTGTTAGTGCCATGGAAATCACCTATGTGGGTAGAAGAGTTTCCTAATAGTACGCTGTACCTTTTCATGTATTTCATTATGTTTTGATGCCATTTCTTAGTGCTTCATAGTATTTCTCATTTGGTTCTGAATTTACTGAATTATATACCCCTTTTAAAACAAAAACCTACTTCCATTGAGTCGATTCTAACTCATAGTGACCCTATAAGAAAGAGGACTGCCCCACAGGGTCTCCAAGGCTGTCAATCTTCACAGAAGCAAAGCCCAAACCACACCCACTGCCGTGGAGTGGACTCTTGACTCCCAGCGCCCCTAGAGGACAGAGTGGAACTGCACCACAGGGTCTCCAAGGCTGTCAATCTTCACAGAAGCAAAGCCCAAACCACACCCACTGCCATGGAGTCCATTCTGACTCACAGCGCCCCTAGAGGACAGAGTGGAACTGCCCACAGGGTCTCCAAGGCTGTCAATCTTCACAGAAGCAAAGCCCAAACCACACCCACTGCCTGGAGTCCATTCTGACCCACAGCGCCCCTAGAGGACAGAGTGGAACTGCCCACAGGGTCTCCAAGGCTGTCAATCTTCACAGAAGCAAAGCCCAAACCACACCCACTGCCTGGAGTCCATTCTGACCCACAGCGCCCCTAGAGGACAGAGTGGAACTGCCCCAAAGAGTTTCCAAAGCTGTGAGTCTTTATGGAAGCCACCTGGATTGTCTCACACTTCTTGGATATTCTGTTCCATCTTTTTCATTCTCTCTTCCTGCATGTCAGTTTTGGGAGTTGGTGTTAACGTATCTTTAGGCTCCCTGATTCTGTCATTGGTCTTGGCATATCGTTTGATGAACTAGTTAAAGGCATCCATCATTTCTGTTAACAGTATTTTTCCTTTCTCACATTTCCTTTAGTTTCTTTGTTAAGTTTCCATCTCTGCTTCCGTTATCCATGTGTTTTTACATGTTAAACACTCTATTTGTCAGCACTCCTACCATGTTTATCATAGTTCTCTGGGATTTTTGGTCTGATAACGCCAAAATCTGTGCCTTATCTTAGACTGTTTTGATTCTTGCTTTCTCTTCAAGCTGTGTTTTTGCCTTTAGTATTCTCAGTAGTTTTTTTTTTGTCACCCAGAGGTTATATACTAATTAAAAGGAAAGGAGGTAAATAAACAGGCCTTTAGTATGAAGAAGGAGCTGTGCCATACAGTGGTTAAAGCATTCAGCTGCTAACTACAAGGTTGGTGATTTGAACCCACCAGCCGCTCCATGGGAGAAAGATGAGGTAGCTTGCTTCCATTAGCTTTACAACCTTGGTGACCCTCTGAGGGCAGTTCTGCTCTGTCCTGTAGGGTTGCTGTGGTATGGTATTGACTCAGTGGCAGTGGGTTTGGTTTAGGAGATTAATGAGAGAGAGATGAGCATATGTGTTGGAAATGTTTTGTTCACAAATCCTAGTTGTTCAATACATGGAGCATTTTATCATCACAAGACTGAATATTGACAAGGAACTTACAGAAATGCAAGCTGGACGCAGAACAGGATGTGGACAAGGGATATGATTGCTAATATCAGACGGGTCTTGGCTGAAGACAAAGAATGCCAGAAAGATGTTTACTTGTGTTTTACTGACTGTACAAAAGCATTCAACTGTGTAACAGATTATGGATAACATTGAGAAGAATCGGAATTCCAGAACACTTGGTTGTGCTCATGAAGAATTGTACATAGACTGGGAGGCTGTCAATTGAACAGAACACGGGGATACTGCATGGATGAAAATCAGCAAGGGAGTGTGTCAGGGTTGTATCCTTTCACCATACATATTCAGTCTGTATGCTGAGCAAATCACCTGAGAAGCTGGACTATATGAAGACCACAGTATTAGGATTGGAGGAAGACTCATTAACATCCTGCAATATGCAGACAACACAGCCTTGCTTGCTGAAAGTGAAGATGACTTGAGGCACTTATTGATGAAGATTGAAGAGTACAGTCTGCAGTATGGATTACATCTCAATAGAAAGAAAACAAAAATTCTCACAACTGGGCCTGTAAGCAGCATCAGGATGAATGGAGAAAAGACTGAAGTTGTCAAAGACTTCACCTTGCTTGGTTCTACAATTGACGACAATGGAGGCAGCAGTCAGGACATCAGATGACACATAGCACTGGGCAAGTTGGCTGCAAAGGACCTCTTTCCAGTGCTGAAGAGCAAAGATGTCTCTCCTTGAGGAGTAACGTGTGCCTGACACAAGCCATGATATTTTCAATAGCCTAATATACTTGTGAGAGCTGGACAATGAATAAGGAAGGCCGAAGAAGAGTTGATGCTTTTGAGTTGTGGTGCTGGCAAAGAATGCTGAAAGTACCATGGACTGCTAAAAGAACTAACAGATCTGTCCTGGAGGAAGTGCAGCCAGAATGATCCTTGGAAGCAAGAATGGCCAGACTTACCAACTGTGGTCATGTCAGAAGGGACCATTCCCCAGAGAAAGATATCTTAACTTGCTAAAGTAGAGAGTCAATGAAAAGGGGGAAGGCCCTCCATGAGATGGATCGACACAGTGGCTGCAGCGAGGGGCTCAAGCACAGCAAGGTTTGAGGCTGGCGCGGGTCCAGGTGGTAATTCATTCTGTTGTACGTGGGGTCGCTGGGAGTCGGCACCAACTTGACGGCACCTAACAACAGCAACGAGAAGAGATTGACTAGTGGTCATTAAGGTGTTAGATAAGTTTACACTACATCACCTGGCATACTGCAGTGGCAGAGTTTTCATTGTGGCTCTTGCTCAGTTTGTTGTGACACCATCATACCTGGACTGATCAGAGATGACATGGCTAGCTCACTTCACCACTTCCGTGACGAGAGGAGTCGACTTGCTGGGAAGACGCTCTCTGTCGGCACCCAGAGAATTAAGCAGCATTTGCTCTCCTCCCATATGAAGCGGCTGATGGACTGTGTGACGACTGGACACACATCACTCTTCCAAACCAGGGAATTCTGTTGTTCAGGGTCCACATAGTCATGGTTATGTGCCTTTCAGGGGCTGAAAATATGACAGAGTTTCAGAGTGGAGCCTCTGGAAGGCTGGTGTGCAAACTTCTATGTTTAGGGTTCACGGGCAGTTTAAGAGGTAAACTGTCAAGTTTCTTGGGAAATTATATTTTATGTGGTAAACTTTGTATATAATGAAATATTTGCCAATTCAACAGTGTTTACATGTATAACTTGGTCAGTTTGATTACGTGTATCATGGTTTGTGTTTGTTACAAAATAGAAATCTTAACGTCTTCTCAGCAAACACAAGGGTGTGTGTTCTTGTCTCGGCTTGGGAGTGATTTTTGTTGTAACACGACACTAGTGAGGGTGTGTGGGTTCATGTTAGCCGTAACATGAGACTATGTGTGTGAGAGGGTGTGTGGGTTCATGTTTCTCATGACATGAGACTGTGGCTGTGTGGGCTCATATGGGTCATAACACGAGACTGTGAGGGTGGAAGGGTTCATGTTTGTCATGAGACCGTGTGTGAGCATGTGTGGGTTCATGTTTGTCACATGAGACTGTAACACAAGACTGTGAGTGAGGATGGATGGGTTCATGCTTGTTGAGGGAGGAGTCACTGATCATTGGTGTCCATTGCAGCAGGTCTGGAAATGCTAGAATTGTGGGACATCTGGACTCTCACGTTTCCTGTCTCACCGCAGCTCTTTTTCACTTTCATCACCTTTGCTTGTCTCTGTGAAAGGGACGGAAAGAAAGCCACAACAACTGACTGTTCAGAAAACAGGTGACTGACATGTAAAAATTTATATTTCTCCAATAGAATATTCTTTTTTCAGCAGGTAGACCTGTCACCGCCTAATCTCCTGCAGTTCAAGAAAATATGAACAGCTCAGGGCCTTGGATTGTCACTTTGTCTGTGTGGGTCCTTGGTGTTCCCGTGGCTGTGAAGGGGAAGAGAACACTGCCATTTCCTCGTTGTTTCCCAGTTATTAATACCTCATTACCTTGAGCTTTATGTTTTGTGCAATGTCATGGTGGGTCTTATGTCGGGTGTAATTGTTCACAAGGAAGTGATGATCGGAATGAGAGTTTCTCTAATTTCTGCCGTGTTTTCAAACTTGTAGAGCATAAAGAGAGGAGTAAGACTGCATCCAGTCCCAGTCCAACTGTGGAGAGACTGTTTCACTGGGTTGGAAGTCTGGGAAACAGGAAGCAGTCAGTGAGGAAGTGAGTGGAGACAGTGCAGGGATGGGTCTGATGGGTACACTTCATACTTCATCTCAGTGGAGCACAGGACGTGGTTTCCAGTCCCTGTGAACGCTCAGTTCTCTGTCAGACTCAGCCTTCATGCTTGTACACACTGGAGTACTTGGTACCTTCCTGATCCACAATGTGTGGGCTGTTTTAGGACTCAGTGGTCATTGAGGATGTGGCCGTGGTCTTTACTCAGGAAGAGTGGGCTTTGCTGGATCTTGCTCAGAGGAAACTCTACAGAGATGTCATGATGGAAACCTTGAGCAACCTGGCCTCAGTAGGTAAGAGTTGTGTCATTTTTTAAATAAAAACAAAACTCCTTTAATGATCACACAGGAGCTCTTGTCGCATAGTGTCTGAGGCATTTGACTGCTTACCAGAAGACTGACAGTTCAAACCCACCAGCCACTCTATGGAAGGAAGACTGGGCAATCTACTTGCGTAAAGATTTACCACCTCGGAAACCCAAAGAGGGTCAGTATGAGTCAGAATCGACTCAGTGGCAGAGAGTTTGGTTTGGTAATGATCACACATATTGCATTCCTCAAGTTTGCTCCAGTATTTGGGTTGAGGAATGGGAATAAGTTGTTAAATAAGATGGTCATGGTTCCTTGGTCTGTGGAACATACCCTTGATTCCCCATGAACTTAAAGCTGTGTGACCTTTCATTAAAGTGACCTTTCATTTCTCTTGTGATTTAAAGCCCTGAGGCTTTCTAAGTGTTATAAGTAAAAGCATTAGGTTGAAAGGTGAATGGGGGACACTGAGGGATTTGTGATTTGGGACTGGGTGAGAATTTTACTGTGTGATTACAAGCTTGACATGCTTGTTTTGCAACAGATAAACTCATGCCTTTGCATCTTCGGAGAACCCAAAGGGCAAAGTATCGAATCAGTTTCAAAGCAATGTTATCCCAGAGGAAAATAAGGGAAAGACCCAAGACCCGTGGAGATGGGACTCATTGAGGGGCTCTGATTGGGTGCCAGGAGAGCAAGAATTCTTGGAAGGACCAGCCCTGCATGGAGGGAATTGCATTGGCTAGAAAAAGTCACTTAACTGGAAAACTTCCATTATGTGTTGAGGACACAGCCTGACAGATTGCCAAGCTTACTTTCCTGACTGTACCTGTCTCCTCACATATTTGCAGTCAGAGGGACTCCTTTCGTCCAGTAATGCTACAGGTGTATCGTGGCCAGTATCTTTCTACTTAGTCCTCTTATGTCCTGGTAAACTGCTTCTTAACCATTGCCACAGTGCAGAAAGAGTGAAATGCAGCTAAGTGTTTCGATGTTCACAGCAGCCTTTTTTCCCCTAATATTTCCTTTCCTCTTTGTTTCATATTATGAACCTCAACTTGAATTACTGGTTCAGTTGCTCAAAACCTTAATGATGGAGAAAAGATTAGTGAACATATGATGACATTAATGAAGAATAACAACTGGTCTACCATGTTAGGAGAAATCTCTGAGTCACATGGCAGTAAAGATGAGCATAAAAACCGGAGGAGATGTTTGAGGTGAGTATCATTTAAACAAGAGAATGTAGCACTCCAGGGGAAAGTCTTAAGGCACGATGACATTAAAATGTTGTTGTTATGTGTCATTGAGTTGGATCCGACTCATAGCGACCCCTCCTTGGGTTGCCGAGGTGGCATCACTACGGAAGTATATTGCCTAACCTTCCTTCCAAACATTAAAGTACACATGTATATATTTACAGAAAGGAGCTCTGGTGGCACAGTGCCTAAGGCATTTGACTGTTAAGCAGAACGTTGATGGTTCAAACTCTGTGAAAGCAAAATGGGGCAGTCTACTTCCTTAAAGATTTACTGCCTTGGAAAGCCAGTGGTGGCTGCTGTGAGTCAAAATTGAGTCAGTGACAGTGGGTTTCATTTGGTTTATATATTTACTGATGTATACCAGGCCTTTGAACTGATTCATAATGGCTCAGCAGTTGAAAGCTAAATAAGGGCTGTGTACATGTTGCATAGCCACCAAATTGGTTTTCCAGAAAACAGTTAACAATCAACTATGTTCACTCAAAGATGGTGGCACCCGTGCCACATTGAATGTATGTTGCTCTCCATAGTGCCTCTGGTAATCAAATTCCCACATGGATCCCCCTGAGTTTCAGGAGCCTGACGTAGGAGGCTGTATTATCAGCAGGACTATGGAGAGTGACACATACTCAAAGCAGTGTAGCTGTCTGCTATCTTTGAGCATACCAAACCAAAAAGCCAAACTCACTACTGTCGAGTCAGTTCCACTCATAGTGATCCCTCCTTGGATTTCCAAGGCAGTACCTCTATGGAAGCAGATTGCCCTGTCTTCCTTCTGAGGAGTGGCTGGTGGGTTTGAACCACCACCCTTCTGGTTAGCAGTCAAAAGCCTAGCACTGCTGTTTGTTTCTTAATACGGTCAAAATCTGATGGGCATCAGATTTGGTTGCTATTCAGCACTTATGCTGCTATCATTTATTTCCACTTGTTGAACTGTTAGGAATTGGTTCAAAACCCTGATAGGGATGTGTGTGTGTGTGTGTGTGTGTGTGTACACATGTTTATATATATAAACCTAGTGGTGACATTTTGTATCCAGAGAATTTTTACAATATAACATTTTCATAAATGTGAGTTAGGTATCATGTACTTGAGCATATTTCAGTTGGGTAGAATTATCAGAGAGCCTCATATTTTAGAAAAACAGTGATATTAATGGTAATATTTTTACTAGATGATTTAATCTGCAAAACATGAACATTCACTGTGTTTGTTAATGGTAAAATTGGAACAAGCTTATTTCCAACAACATGTTGCCTATATTTAACAGAAGTCATATCGTAGAGACCCTCTGTGAAAGTCATGAAGGTGACCCATGTGGAAAAAACTTCAGCCGGATTCCTAATCTTACGGTGCTACAAAGCAGTCCCCTAAAAGGAAATCCTTTTGAATGCCGTGAGCATGGAAAAGCCTTCTTGGATCAATCATCACATAAGCATCACACCAGATCTCGCACTGGATATAATACCTGTCAGTATAATGAATGGGCAGAAGGCTGCGGTTGTCCCTCTCACCGAACCACTCCTATAAGAAATCTTGTTGGAAAGAAATCCCAAAACCATAATGTACACGGGAAAGACTTCACACTGGAGAATCCTGTGACAACATCCACCAGTGAGAAACGTTATGAACGTAACGGATGTGGGAAAGATTTCTGTCCTTTCTCCTCCTCTTGGACATGTGTGAGAGGTTCTAGGTGTGAACGTAAGGAATGTTGTAAAACTGACATTCAACCTTTAAATGTTTTGTATAAAAAATTTCATAATAGAGATAAGCCTTATGAATGTAAGGAATGTGGGAAAGCCTTTAGTCGTTCTTCACTCCTCACGTCACATATAAAAACTCACAGTGAAGAGAGGCCTTTGGAGTGTAAGCAGTGTGGGAAAGCTTTTAGTTGGCCCTCAGATCTCACTACACATATGCGAACTCACAGTGGAGAGAGGCCTTTTGAATGTAAGCAGTGTGGGAAAGCCTTTAGTCAGACTTCATCCCTCACTACACATATAAGAACTCACAGTGGAGAGAGGCCTTATGAGTGTAGGGACTGTGGGAAAGCCTTTAGTCAGGCCTCCTCCCTTACTCAACACAGAAGAACTCACAGTGGAGAGAGACCTTATGAATGTAAGCAGTGTGGAAAAGCTTTTAGTCAGTCCTCCATCCTCAATCAACATAGAAGGATTCACAGTGGAGAGAGGCCTTATGAATGTAAGGAATGTGGGAAAGCCTTTACTTGTTCCTCACACCTCACTACACATATAAAAACTCATAATGGAGAGAGGCCTTATAAATGTAAAGAATGTGGGAAAGCCTTCAGTTGGTCCTCACACCTCACGTCACATCTAAAAATTCATAGTGGAGAGAGGCCCTATAAATGTAAACAATGTGGGAAAGCATTTAGTCAGGCCTCACACCTCAACATACATGTAAGAACCCACAGTGGAGAGAGACCTTACGAATGTAAGGAATGTGGGAAAGCCTTTAGGTGTTCCTCCCACTTCACTATACATAGAAGGACCCACAGTGGAGAGAGGCCTTATGAATGTAAGGAATGTAGGAAAGCCTTCAGTCGTTCCTCACTCCTCACTTCACATAGAAGAACTCACAGTGGAGTGAGGCCTTATGAATGTAAGGAATGTGGGAAAGCCTTCAGTCAGGCATCACACCTCACGACACACATAAGAACTCATAGTGGGGAGAGACCTTATCAATGTAAGGAATGTGGGAAAGCCTTCAGTCAGACCTCAGCCCTCAGTACACATAGAAGAATTCACAGTGGAGAAAGGCCTTATGAATGTAAGGAATGTCGGAAAACCTTTATTGATTCCTCAGCCCTCACTAAACATGTAAGAACTCACAGTGGAGAGAGGCCTTATGCGTGTAAGGAATGTGGGAAGGCTTTTATGGATTCATCAGCCCTCAGTAAGCATATGCGAACTCACAGTGGAGCAAGGTCTTTTGAATGTAAGGAATGTGGGAAAACGTTTAGTCGTTCTTCACACCTTACTTCTCACATAACGACTCACAGCGGAGACACTACTCTGTGTCAGAAGTGGAATGTTTCATCCTTACTGCTATAATTTCAAACAGGAAATGTGCAAAAGTCTGTGATTAAAGAACAGTTTCTCAGTGAGTACGAAAGCAATCGTAACTCAAAGAAGGAGTTGTTAAAGCTACTTTCTGCTTTTGGGAGACACAACAGTATCACTGTCACTGCGAGGCTGTTCTCATCTGTGTTTGTTACTTTCTCAGTCCATGCTAAAGTTTATCTTTTGTATAAGTATTTGGTTATTACAAATAAACCTGCTGTGAATAGCTTTGAGCAAATGTGGTTTTATATATTTTTAAATGTTTTTATTGATGTTATTTTGTCTACAATTAAATTCATTCATCTTCTTTTTGATTTCAAAGTGTTTTTGATTCATATTTAATGCATTTCCTTCCATTCTTTCCTATTGTAAAGTTAACTCTTTGGCCTGTATGATTAGTTTCTCATGTGGTGACACTTTGTGACTGTGCACATACTCCGTTTTTCATGGTACTTTGGCCATTGATAATATTACCTATGATGATTATTGTGGTATTGACAAATGATATTTTCTTTTACAATCATATAGCTTCTCTACTTGTTAACTGGAATTCTGCAAGAAACAGGTTTTCTTTGCTCCCCTTTATTACATTGCTTATAAAATTACAGGCAGTCTTAAAAAAAGTTCCATTCCTAAGTCTGTTTTTAAGTAGAATTTGCACATAAGTTAGGTATGGTTATTATCTAATATTAGTTGTTGTTATTGTTGTTATTTGCCGTCGAGTCGGCCCCGACTCATAGCGACCCCTCCTTGGGTTTCCAAGGCAGTATCACTACGGAAGTAGGATTGCCCAACCTTCCTTCCGAGGAGTGGCTGGTGGGTGTTGAACCGCCAGCCTTCTGGTTAGCAGTCAAGTGCTTTAGGCACTATGCTACCAGTTAGTCGAACATTTTTCATAGTATTTAGTACATAATGAACCTTTCTGTGCATAATTAAACACTTTCAAATACACTAAAACATCTTTAACCTAATATTAAAGTAGTAGTAATTATACCAGCAGTATTTCATTCTGCATTGCAGTGTAGTACCGGTTTGCTCTTATAAACCTTTGCCACTTCATTGAACTCCTTCTTGGTAGACTTCCCCCCAACCCCAACATGGGGAGGACAGGAGGCAGCCCACAAGGGCATTGCACATGCAGACCCCGGCCCGCCATGGGGTGGTGCAGGTGTGTTGACAAGGAAGTGAACGAAGAACCCACCCCTGTGCAGCTCCATGCATATTGTTGTAGTGGGCTCTGGCCTCCACCCAGCTCCAGCCAGTGAAGCAAACTGCAGGTGGACATCACACCACCAGCAGTCAAGGGGTGCAGGGCTTTAATTCCTGCAGGAGGGGATGTTACCTTGTAATAGGTTTTATGGTGTGTATAAAGGGCATAGGGGTTGCATCTGACCTCTTCTAACTTCACAAGGGAGGACTCTGTGGTGGGATCCAGGTGAGGGGAGGGAACCCAGGCCACGCCTCAAAGCAGCAAGGCGGGAAAGCAGGGGGTGGGGGAAGAGAACAAAACGGCCAGGGGGACCGGGGCAGAGTGAGGAGTCAGCTTCAGGCATCCAGGAGGGGGGACAGAGCTCAGGCCACGCCCCTCAAGTGACAAGGCAGGATAGCAGAGGAAAGGCCAGGGCGACCCAGACAGAGAGAGGAGTCAGCCACAGGGTTCAAGGTGAGGGGCGGGAACCCAGGCCACACCCCACAAGCGACTAGGCGGGGAAAACGGGAAAGGGGAGACAAAGGCCAGGGCAGCTGGGAAAGAGTGAGGAGGCAGCAGCAGGGTTCCAGGTAAGGGGAGGTGGGAGAGGTTTCCCACAGCTGAGGGAAACAAACTTGTCTGTCGGTTTGTCCTATTGTGATGTGTTGCAGTGAGTCTTGAGGCTGTGCCACGGGTGTTTCACACCCAGCAGGGTGCACGTGGTGCACAGGTTTCAGTGCAGCTTGCAGACTGAGACACAGTAGGAAGAAGGAAGAGGCCATCCACTTCTCAATGAATTGGCCAGGGAAAACCTTCTAAATAGCAGAGAAACACTGATACATTAATGTGCAACTTTATGAATAGTCCAGAAACATTGGTGAATACATGGAGGAGGATGAGCCAGGCCTCCTGCCAGAAGGCGCTCAGCTTTGGGAAGCCCACTGCTGTGCTTTGTGGCTCTCCTGTCCCCACCAGTTTCTGGGCCATTGCTTCTGTGGCTTCTTTCCATCTCCGGTGTCACACTCTGTATCCTGGATCAAGGAAGTTTCATACAGGGATCTCAATTCAAAGGACATTTTCTACTCCTTTCTCTTCTGTCTTGATGGGAGTGAGAGATCCCCCCTCCCTTTCTGCTCTGAGGTGGTTCATTTCAAGCCAGCCACTGCCACTGAGTCAATTCTGATTCATAGCAATCCCCACTGGGTTCTCAAGGGTGGAAATATTTCTGAAAGTAGATTGCCTCACCTTTCTTCCATGGAATAGCTTTGGGTTTGGACCTCTTGGTTGGCAGCCAAATGCCTTAACTACTACACAACCAGAGCTCCTTATTCAAAGCCTAGCTGATGGCAAAACTGGCCATTCTCCACATTATGCTTCCATAAATCTTTAATTCCTTGGTCCTTCCCCCACAAATGTGTCATATACCTACCTAATTTACATTAACAAACTATCTAGTCCTCTTGTTGTTGTTCTGTGCCGTCGAGTCAGACCCGACTCATAGCAACTCCTCCTTGGGTTTCTGAGGCAGTATCACTATGGAAGTAGATTGCCCCACCTTCCTTCCGAGGAGTGGCTGGTGGGTTTGAACCACCAGCCTTCTGGTTAGCAGTCAAGTGCCTTAGGCACTATGCTATCAGAGCTCCCTCCAGTCCTCAGGGCTTGATACTAGTAAGTGTCCCACCCAGGCATCTGGTGGGAGCCACAAAGAACCCACTGCACCACATGGAGGTTGGTTTATAACTGTGTTGTGCATAAACTGGAACATCTGTGACCCAGGGACTGCCTGTCTAGCCTAATCCATATACTTTTTTTTTCTTCTTTTCTTGCTCTAATTGTCCCATATTTGGTCCTTAAACCAAACCAAACCACCAGACATTGAGTCAATTCCAACTCGTAGTGACCCTTTAGGCCAGAGTAGAACTGCCTAATAGGGTTTCCAAGGCTATAAGTCTTTATGGAAGCAGACTGCCTCAGCCTTCTTCTGTGGAGAATCTAGTGGGTTCGAACCGCTGACCTTGTGCTTAGCATCTGAATGCTTTAACCACTCTGCACCAGAGCACCTTACTTGGTTCTTAGGAGGTCTTTTCAGTAGGTTCTTGTGTTTTGTGACGTGTCCCCATAGTTGTATATTACTTTCTGCCAGTGTTTTAGCTCCATCATGTCCTCCTGCCTGAGCCCTGGATTCAGACTTTTCTCCAAGAAACTCTTTCCTTCTATTAGAGTATGATACGCAGAAGCAAAGATCTGTACATTAGATATGCTTATTGCTACTGGGAGCCCTGGTGGCACAATGGTTAAGTGCGTGGCTGGTGAACAAAAGATTATTGGTTCAAACCCATTAGCTGCTCTGCAGGAGAAAGTTGTGGCAGTCTGGTTCTGGAAAGATTGAAAGCCTTGGAAAACGTGGGCAGTTCCACTCTGTCCTCTAGGGGCGCTGTAAGTCTGAATTGATTCCAGGG